ATTTGAAGGAGGGATTAAACAGTTTCCAGATAAGTAAAAGTCGAGAACATTTACTTCCTACAAACCATCTCTATAGTGTACTTTGGAGGGACTGCTATAGATGGAAGTGTTTCCAAGGCTAAATAGCTGTCACTAGAGAGAATAAAACCACAGTAAAGAAAGTAGACCAATTAGTTACTAATCAAATGCAAAGTTAAATCAACTACCCACAAATTCAGTCAATGGATTAAGAGTACAGAATATGATACCTAATATATAAAGAATGGAGGGGGAAGAAAAAGGAGGAAAAATAAAGAAACTTAAGTTGTTTTTGTAATAGTGTACTGAGTTAAGTTAGGCTGTTAGATAGTAAAGAAATTACACTTGAACCTTTGGTAACCATGAATCTAAAGCCCCCAATGGCAATAAGTACATATCTATTGATATTCACACTAAATATAAGTGGTCTGAATGCACCAATCAAAAGACATAGAGTCACCGAATGGATAAAAAAACAAGACCTGTCTATATGCTGCCTACAAGAGACTCACTTCAAACCCAAAGAAATACACAGACTAAAAGTCAAGGGATGAAAAAAGATATTGCATGCAAACAATAGGGAGAAAAAAGCAGGTGTTGCAGTAATTGTATCAGATAAAATAGACTTCAAAACAAAGAAGTAGCAAGAGACAAAGAAGGACATTACATAAATGATAAAGGGGCCAGTCCAACAAGAGGATATTACCATTATAAATATCCATGCACCCAACACAGGAGCACCTACATACATGAAACAAATACTAACAGAATTAAAGGGGAAATAGACTGCAATGCATTCATTTTAGGAGACTTCAGCACACCACTCACTCCAAAGGACAGATCAACCAGACAGAAATAAGGTGACAGAGGCACTGAACAACACACTAGAACAGATGAACCTAATGGACATCTAGAGAACACTCCACCAAAAAACAGCAGGATACACATTCTTCTCAAGTGCACATGGAAAATTTTCAAGAATAGATCACATACTAGGCCACAAAAAGAGCCTCAGTAAATTCAGAAGGATTGAAATTGTGCCATCCAGCTTCTCAGACCACAAAGGTATGAAACTGGAAATAAATTATGCAAAGAAAACAAAAAGGCCCACAAACTCATGGAGGCTTAACAACATGCTCCTAAATAATCAGTGGATCAGTGACCAAATAAAACCAGAGATCAAGCATATATGGAGAAAATGAAAACAATAGCTCAACACTGCAAAATCTATGGGATGCAACGAAGGCAGTTTTAAGAGGAGAGTATATTGCAATACAGGCTTACCTCAACAAAGAACAATCCCAGTGAACAGTCTAAGCTCACAACTAATGAAACTAGTAAAAGAAGAAGAAATGGTGACCAAAGTCAGAAGAAGGAGGGACATAATAAAGATCAGAGCAGAAATAAATGAAATTGAGGGGAAAAAAAAACCAATAGAAAAAAAATCAGTGAAACCAGGAACTGGCTTTTCAAGAAAAATAAACAAAATAGATAAACCCCTAGCCAGACTTATCAAGAAAAAAAGAGATTATACATACATAAACAGAATCAGAAATGAGAAAGGAAAAATCACTATGGACACCAAAGAAATACAAAGAATTATTAGAGAATACTATGAAAAATTATATGCTAACAAATTGGATAACCTAGAAGGAATGGACAACTTTCTAGAAAAATGCAACCTTCCAAGACTGACATGAAAAAACAGAAAATCTGAACAGACCAATTACCAGCAATGAAATTGAATTGGTAATCAAAAAACGACTTAAGAACAAAACTGCTAAACCAGATGGCTTCAGTGCTGAATTTTATCAAACATTTAGAGAAGACATAATATCCGTCCTCCTTAAAGTTTTCCAAAAAGTAGAAGAGGAGGGAATACTTCCAAACTCATTCTATGAGGACAGCAGCACTCAATACCAAAACCAGGCAAAGACACCATAAAAAAAGAAAATTACAGACCAATATCCCTGATGAACATAGATGCAAAAATACTCAACAAAATATTAGCAAACTGAATTCAAAAATACATCAAAAACATCATCCAACATGATCAAGTAGGATTTATTCCAGGGATGCAAGGATATTACATTATTTGAAAATCCATCAACATCATCCAGCACATCAACAAACAGAAGGACAGAAGTCACATGATCATTTCAATAGATACTGAAAAAGCATTCAACAAAATTCAACATCCATTCATGATAAAAACTCTCAACAAAATGGGTATAGAGGGCAAGTACCTCAACATAATAAAGGCTGTATATGACAAACCCATAGACAACATCATACTTAACAGCAAGAAGCTGAAAGCTTTTCCTTTAAGATTGAGAACAAGAAAAGGATGCCCACTCTCCCCATTTTCATTCAATATAGTACTGGAGGTCCTTGCCTGCCAATCAGACAACACAAAGACATAAAGGCATCCAGATGGGTAAGGAAGAAGTTAAACTGTTACTATTTGTAGATGCTATGGTATTGTACATAAAAAAACCCCTAAAGAATCCACTCCAAAACTACTAGAACTAATAACTGAATTCAGCAAAGTTGCAGGATAGAAAATTAGTACACAGAAATCTGTTGCATTTCTATATACTCATGATGAACTGCCAGAAGGAGAAATTGGGAAAACAACTCCATTTACAATTGCATCAAAAAGAATAAAATACCTAAGAATAAACCTAATCAAGGAGGTGAAAGACCTATACCCTGAAAACTACAAGACACTCATAAGAGAAATTAAAGAGGACACTAACAAATGGAAATACATCCTGAGTTCATGGATAGGAAGCATTAATATTGTCAAAATGGCCATCCTGCCTAAAGCAATCTACAGATTCAATGCAATCCCCATCAAAATACCATGGCATTCTTCAATGAACCAGAATAAATAGTTCTAAAATTCATATGGAATCACAAAAGATGTCAAATAGCCAAAGTCATCCTGAGAAGGAAGAACAAACCTAGGAGGGATAATACTCCCCAAATTCAAGCTCTACTACAAAGCCACAGTAATCAAACCAATTTGGTACTGGCACAAGAACAGACCCATAGATCAATGGAACAGAATAGAAAGCCCAGATATAAACCCACACATATATTCCCAGTTAATATATGATAAGGGAGCCATGGACATAAAATGGGGAAATGACAGCCTCTTTAACAACTGGTATTGGCAGAACTGGACAGCTACATGTAAGAGAATGAAACTGGATTATTGTCTAACTCCATACAGAAAAGTAAAATCAAAATGGATCAAAGACCTGAATTTAAGTCATGAAAGGATAAAATTCATAGAAGAAAACATAGGCAAAAATGTCTTGTATGTAAACATGAGCAACTTTTTCCTGAATACATCTCCTAAGGAAAAGGAAACAAAATAAAAAATGAATAAGTGGGACTACATCAAACTAACTTCTGTACAGCAAAGGACACCATCAGTAGAACAAAAAGGCATCCTACAGTATTGGAGAATATTCTCATAAACAACATATCCAATAAAGGGTTAACATCCAAAATGTATAAAGAGCTGACATGCCTCAACACCCACAAAGGAAATAACCTGATTAAAAAATGGATGGAGGATCTGAACAGACACTTCTCCAAAGAAGATATTCAGATGGCCAAAAGGCACATAAAAAGGTGCTCCACACCACTAATTATCAAGAAATGCAAATTAAAATCACAATGAGATATTACCTCACACCAGTTAGGATGGCCAACATCGAAAAGACAAGGAACAACAAATGCTGGCAAGGATGTGGAGAAACTACACTGTTGGTGGGAATCTCAGTTAGTTCAACCATTGTGGAAAGCAATATGGATGTTCCTCAAAAAACTAAAAATAGAAATACAATTGGACCCAGGAATTCCACTCTTAGGAATTTACCTGAAGAAAACAAGATCCCAGATTAAAAAAGACACATGCACCCCTGTTTATCACAGCATTTACAATAGCCACAATATGGAAGCAACCTAAGTGTCCATCAGTAGATGAATGGATAAAGAAGATGTAGTATATATACACAATGGAATATTATTCAGCCTTAAGAAAAAAACAAATCCTATCATTTGCAACAACATAGGTGGAGCTAGAGGGTATTATGTTCAGTGAAATGAGCCAAGCAGAGAAAAACAAGTACCAAATCATTTCACTAATTTGTGGAGTATAACAACAAAGCAAAACTGAAGGAACAATACAGCAGCAGACTCACAGACTCCAAGAAGGGTCTAGCGGTTACCAAAGGGAAGGGGTTGGGGAGGGTAGGAGAAGTTTATTAAGGGCATAATAATTAGCACTTACAATATAGGTAGGTCACAGGGAAGGCAGTGTAGCACGGAGAAGACAAGTAGTGACTCTATAGCATCTTACTTCACTGATGGATAGTGAGTGCAATGGAGTATCAGTGGGGGGACTTGATAATATGGGTGCATGTTGAAACCACAATGTTGCTCATGTGATACCTTCATAAGATTGTATATCAATGATACCTTATTTAAAAAAATCCATGTGCAGATTTTTATTTCGATATATCTTTTTTCCCCCCTGCAGCCTCTTGTACAAAGGTAAGGATTTTCAGCACTTAATAATTCTGCATCTTAGGTCTGGTAAGGACTTAGAAATAACGTTTTAGATACAAGAAAACTGAAGACTGAGAGACATGGTGTTCACTGTGTAAAACTGCTTACCTAGTCTGCCATGAAATTCTTACCTGAATGTAATAAAGAAAATATAAAAATTAAAATGGCATAAGGATTGAGAATGATTGTACCAAATGATCAAATCAATTTTTTTAAATAATAAATTCAATAAGTTGTAGCACGATATTTTCTTCATTGTTTTATAACTACTGAATTATAACCTTATAACTTTATGATTTTTCTCCTAAAATAAGTGTTGTGCATTTTCAGTGACATTTTGCATTTTTCCCAGGGGCTAATGCCCTCCTTGAACTGACTGAGCCTTGCTGTTTTCACAGGTTGTGGTGGGGAGTTGTCTGGGGCCACAGGCTCCTTCAGCAGCCCTAGGTACCCTAACACATACCCCCCCAACAAGGAATGTATCTGGTATATTAATGCTGCCCCCGGGAGTAGCGTGCAGCTCACCATCCATGACTTTGATGTGGAGTATCATGCAAGTTGCAAATTTGACGTTCTGGAGGTAGGAATTTAGATTGCTTTTCAGCACATTCCAAATTTGGGGTAAGACTGGAAATCTCTGCAAAAATCCCTAAATTCTTTACCGTGGCCAGTAGTGTTCTATACTTAAGACGTTTTAATGAGTATCAGGTGTTTGTGAATGTTTGCAGGGAAATGGGCTTAACATCTCAATTTGGATTTCCCTGAAAGGTATACCTTAAGGACTGGGTGGTGGGCAGTGTAGCTAGGAGGGAATGCCAGGAAGCAGGAGCGAGGGACAGAAAGGGGGAGCCACAAGGATTAAAGTTGGGAATATCCCTGTGGGGATGTTGGGCTTAACCATCCCAGACCCTCAGAGGTGCTGTGAGGACTGCTCCTCACACTTACCCTTTTAAGGACACATGGCTGAGCGACTGGTCCCCCAACTCCCACCCCCATTGATGGCGCTTGGGATTGTTAGCACCCGCACCTCGAACTGTCTGGGAAAGCTCCCAAAGGCAGCTGGCAGGCGGAGGGTAGAGAAGAGGCGGTGCTTGGGTGGGACTCAGCAGTAAGCAGAGGAATTGCCCCCCATTGTTGCAGCTGCAGTCTGGCGGGGTCAGCACAGTGCAGGGCGCAAAATGCATCTGTTGCAGAAGGCTCTTAAACAGTGGTCACTGGGATCGGATGAGGCATTTGAAGATAAGAGCTTCCAACACTACTGCAAAGCGTTTATCTCAGATAATTAAGATAGCCTTTTAAAAACTATTACAAACAGCTCTTTATTGCAGGGATCTAGTCATTAGGGTATATATATAATCTATTTTCTGAACTTCGACCTGTCTGTGAAATGTAGTGGCTTCCAAGTGTACACAAAACTCCTGTGGTATCAGCTACGGGGACTGTTCTAGTACATCATGACAACAGTCTATATCTGGTAGACCTTGAACCCCATGAGGGCTGGGTATTTGTATTTGTTTGGTTTTGTTTTATTGCTATACCCTTTGGGGCACAGAGCACTTGGCAAATAGTAAGGTATTGAAATATATTTGTGGAATGAATGAAAGCACTCAAACCTCACTGACACAGCTCAGTATGCACACTGGTGGTGGCTTGCAAGGGGATTTGACATCCATTTTCCCATCTGAATATTCAACAATCCTTTGAGGTCAGAGGGGAATTTTGTCCCCATTTCATCATTGTCAAAACAGAGGCTCGAAAAGATTGATGAGGTTTTCCATGACTGCAGGTATGGTGAGTGGAAGACCTGAGAGCTGAACTCATCCCCTGCTCAGCCCCCCATGTAAGCCAGGGTACAAAGGTAGAGGTGGGCAGCATGCAAGAGGTTGAAATGAGCAGCATGTACTTTATAGGAAACTTTAATACTTAAAGACTTTATTTAATTGCAAAACAAGTTCTTTTCTTGGAAAGGAATGGGGTTCTCAAATCAAGCCCTCACTGAGTGATACGGAATCACCAGGAATTGCATTGAGCAGCCCCTGTCTCTCTTAATGAGGATAAAGCTGAGGTAAGTGACATCAGAGGCTGAGCTGTAGGTCCTTGGGTTAAAACCCATACCCTGGTCTTCATGTAAATACTGTTGCCAAGACATGACTCCATCTCAGAAGAGGAACGGTTTTTAGGAGGCTGGAACAAGGTGGCTCCAGACATTCACACTCACAATCTGAAGTAAGAATAAGCACTCTCACGTGGAATGGACTTTTTTACTAGCAAGGATAATTCTCAGTTGCAGAAAACCCCTTAGCACTAATGAAGAGCTGGCAGTGCTTCTCCACAGTAATGTGAAATGTCCCAACCCTTCATTTTCCTGTTCCAAGATCCATGTGACTGTTGTCCACTTGGAAAAATGTAAATGGGCTCATTGTGCTCTGGATTTTGTCATACCCATTACATGAGAAAGCAGAGACTGGGGCTGTTCCCTGCAAGCAGCCTTGGGAACAAGGGACAAAGCAGGGTCCCCAGGCAGCAGCATTCAAGCAGGGTCCTGTGCCTGCACAGAAAGAACTGAAGAGTCTGCAGCTTGGGGCTTTTTTCTTTTAGAATAAAGTGGTCTTCCATGTTCCATCAAAATCAGGGTATATTGGGGGAATATTTTGAAGTCCTTAAATATTTTAGAAAAGATTTTTCTTAAGGCTGAAATGAGTAACCCATTTACTTTTTGTTCAGAAACGTTGACATCTCTGTAAATGCTCAAGTCAGGCAGGATATAAATTAGGGATAATAATGATAAAATGATTTTTTCCATCCCTCATACCATAGATGCTGATTACATGCTAGCAATAGGTTTCAAAAGTTGTTACCCCTGGTGGGTGTGTGGCTCAGAAACATTGCAGGCTTTCTTGGCCCATCTATTCCTAGCCTGCACATTATCCTTTCCTGCTCTGCTGTGCACAGCCATGTAGGGTTCTGCTATCACCAGGTATTGAGCTTACCTGGGTTTGCCAAATTTAACCAAGAGCCAATGTGTTCTTCCCTCACAGACTGTGCAGAAAGTGGCCAGTTGCACTGAGCAACAGCCGTGTGGTTACTCATAACCCTGGAATGCTGACTTGATTGTAACAATAAATGGAACTAACAGAGCAGAAAGAAATGTTCAAATCAGATTAAAACCATAGGCTTTGAAATGTTCTATATCCTGAGCATTTGCTAAAAGCACATTTTTTAACTCTCTGATCATCAGACCAGTCTTTTTTCCCCTAAAGTTTAGTCATATGCTGCTGTCAAATGAACCACACCCTGAAATTCTTTCCATCATTTTCCTCTTTTGAAGAATCATGTGCTAACTATTGGTTTTATCTGTGGGAGCCAAAAGTACCCTTCTATTGTTTTGGTCATGAAAACTCTCACTGATTTTACTTCAGTCCCGGATCAAGGAGCCTGAACCAACATAAAGCAGAAAAGGAAACCCACTCCTTGGTGCTATTAAACCCACACAACTGCTCGGAGTGGGCACTTAGCTCCTTCTGGTCTCTGCAATGGTCTTTTGTGAAGCCAGCCCAGTAAGAGGGGAAGCAAAGAACGTCAAAAGTAACCGTGTTTATTCTTCTGGAGGTTTCTAGGCGCAGCCGACTCACACCCGTTATGTTTGTGATCCCAAGGGGACTCAGCAGGGAAAACAAAAAATATTTTGCCGACGTGCAAGTTTTCTTTGTTAGAACTAAACCCCTGTGCTCAGTGTTCTCTCCAAATATGTGCTGTTTATTGGGCCAAGATGATTAGGAGCACATGCTTTCAGTTCCATGCTCTGTGGGCTGCGCCCAGGGCAGAGGCATGGGGAAGTCTCAGCAGTGGGAAAGGACTCTAAGCCTGAAGCGGCTGTGTTTCTCCTGTTTTCACCTGTGTACGTATAAAGGGCCACACGTTGCTCTTCCTAAAGTCCTGCTTTTGGTGGAACTTAGGGGGCCACACAAACACAGCTCCTCCAAATGAAAATAAGCATGGAGCAGTCAGCCTGCTTTATTCCTCTGCAGTTACAGCGCTTGTGCTCAGCCCTCTGTGGAACAGCAGTTTCATTTATTTGGCCTTTCCCGCGTAGCTGGGGGGAATTAATCAAACAAAGAAGTCATTATGGATTCAAATCACGTACTCCTCACCACAAGTAGGTTTCTTGTTCTCAGCCTCTCTCCCAAGAGAACTCTTGAGTGATTCCCCCATCAGTCAACAGCTGCCCCAGAGTGAGTAAGGCCCAGGGGCTGAGGAATGGGGGAGAGAGCACTGGGGTAGGAGAGCAGCAGCACAGATGGTAGAGGGTCGGCACACAAACCTCCCAATTCAGTTCCTACCATATAAAGAATTATGTGTGTACAGGTGTGTGCATAAACACACGGAGGGGAGGACCAGCCACCAGTACATGAAAAACTGCCCCTAGCAGGGTTTTTCTTCTCCAAATCATGTTTGGCAAGACCTGCACAGGGTTTGATTCTTATCTTTTCTTCAGGGCCCCCCTCCTCAACCATGTGCACTTACACATAACACTGGATACCTGGGAAGAATGTGTCACTGGGGTATCAGAGCACAATCAGATTGATAGTTGGAAATTGGACAAACCTAGGAAGGAGATCTTAGGACCAGTGAGGCTGATCCAGAGGGAGCCACATGGCTCCTGGGGCAGAGTCAAGGACAATTCCTGGGTGGAAGTTGGATGCTCTTGGCCATCTTCCCACAAGAGGGCATGCTGGGAGCAGGTACAGAGAGTACTGTAGGATTCCCTTCTTGAGGATACCACAGAACACGCTGAGAGAGGTTACAATTTCACTTCCTCTGAAGAAGAAAAATAGTCTATTAAATGCCTAATTTTATAAAATATTCAGATTGCCAAGTGGGAAATCCTAAAAACGTAGTGGGAAGATCAATAGCCTTCAGTGAACTCAACTTTCACCAACAAAATGGCTTTATGCTTGGAAATTCATCCCATGCTCTTGGGTAGGAAGAATTAATATTGTCAAAATGGCCATCCTGCCTAAAGCAATCTACAGATTCAATGCAATCCCTATCAAAATACCATCAGCATTCTTCAACCAACTGGAACAAATAGTTCAAAAATTCGTATGGAACTGCAAAAGACCCCAAATAGCCAAAGCAATTCTGAGAAGGAAGAATAAAGCAGGGGGAATCTTGCTTCCCAACTTCGAGCTCT